TGTTACAGTAACCTTCACAGTCTGGTTCCACTAAAAAGCTTCCCAGATGATCTATGCGGATCCCATCCAAGAAGGTGCCAAACACGTCTAGAAAAAATTCGGCGATTTTGGACTTCGACGACCACTAGAAGTCAATATTTAAAGCTGATAACGCCTCTTCAGTTAAAAGGACACTGCTAGAGTGTCTCTCGTCCAACTCTCTCACAACATGCCAATGGCATGCACAACTTCTCAGGATGAATTCCTCGATTACTTGGGAGATGAAATCCTAAGGAGCGCCTTCAGCAAGTGTCCCACCTTCAATACACGAAAGTGGTCCATATGGGAGCACCCGATTGCCAGACAACCCGATCGTGGAGCGTCCCTTTCCAGCCGCAGCGAAACAGGCGACGCCCTACCGGAGCCAACCTACTTCACGAGGCAGCCGCTGCTTTGTTACCCTATCTATCGAGTCCCTTCGTAATGCGGAACCGCAACTGAGAAGAAGGGCTCCACACCCCAGAAAACACCATAACCATAAGTCCAGTCCACGCGAGGTTCATCCAGAGGGGATTCAACTGGATCAAATCTTTAGCGAAGGAACAGAATGAGACGCATACATTTAACGCCTTAGTTCGTGCGGCGAAGGGTTGTTCCAGGCATCATGAGTAAGCCAACCGCGCCAACTCTTAGCGTTGTGGGCAGAAAACGAGGTAACACAAACGATATGATACAGCCTTGTCACTTGCTCGCTTCAACAACTACCGGAGAACGGTCTTGGCACCGTGCCAAACTCATCCCGCCTGACACGCCCCTCGTCCGCGGCGAACTAGACTATATAAACAGCGAGTCGCGGATTCTCTTAATTTGCAACTTGAGCTTCGGCCGGGAAGCGACAGGATGATGGTACATACAGTAACCCATCACCACGATATGCTATCAGTCCCATTATCGTACTTCCACGACCACTGACCGAATAGGTTTCATTTGTGCATCACTGCTTACAATGAAGGTTGTTTTAATCGTATTACTCTTCGCATGCTTCTTAACACACGCATACATTATTACAACGAATCGGGAACTCGAAAGTTTGCACGAACCAGAGACACAGTCACGACACGTTCGCTCCGTGAATGAAGCCGAAAATGGTAATGAGGAGGCCAAGAGTGACGAAATGATGCCTTCAATGGAGAACTTGAAGAGAAGAAGAAGGCACAGTGGTGCCAGCTCGGATGAGGAGGAGCCAGATCCCAACCTACACCACAATCTCTTCGTGAGTTTCACTTGATCACTTTATCGTGCAGCAATTTAGTACAGTAATTTAGTATAGATGGTCGTACCTCCTGACTTCCCTGAGGTATAGCCAGTTAACCACCGTTAGCGGGTAACACAAACTTCGAAGCGCTTTGTGCCTTACCCGCCCTTGTGCTTACCCGCCGGGCAAGAGCTAGTTGGTAAGGCTGCGTTCATACTTTGCGGCAGCGTCCACCAGCGTCTACCAGCGTCCACTAGCGTTCCGAGCGTCCGGCAGCGTCAGCGACTAGGAAAGTATAGATATCGATCTAGCGTCTGCCAGCGTCTACCAGCGTTCACAGTGCCCGCCAGCGACTATCAGCGTCCACCAGCTTCTCGATGGCTAGGGATAGGTATCGATCCAGCGACCAGCAGCGTCCATGTGGAGAGCATGGGGCAATAGGAGGGTAGTAGACAGCCTGTAGAGTATGGGCGATAGGAAGGGTACCAGCTGTCTGATACCCTTCTATCGCCCAAACTCTCCACTCCTGGTCGCTGGTGGACGCTGGTAGACACTGGTGGATGCTGCTGGTCGCTGGATCGATATCTATACTTTCCTAGTCGCTGACGCTGCCGGACGCTCGGAACGCTAGTGGTCGCTGGTGGACGCTGCTGGACGCTGGTGGACGCTGCCACAAAGTATGAACGCAGTCTTGTTGCGCAAGACCCGCGCGAGCCAGCCATTGATCAACTACCGATCAGCTAACTGATGCCATGCTTGTCTTCTAGGAGGACATAATAGACCTGTGTATGCTCTCCGTACAAACCAAAGCGCAGACCAAGAACACAACAGCATCGCTGCAACCATGCGTCGTGGCGCAACTGAACAAGCCTTTTATAAGGCATTATCCAGAATCTCTAGTGCTATCAAAAGCCTAATAATTGATCTTGGGAAGAATTACAAAGGTGCGAAAGCCGTCATCAAGGAGTTGGCTCTTCCTGACAATCGCGTTTATGAAGTGGTAACTTCTAGTCTTCTAGTTCATATTGCACTTATTGTCATGTAATACATTCGGATTTCCAGGGTAATTCCGGCACGGAGGGGGTGGACGAAGAAGAAGTTGCGACGGTGAAGGGGAAAGACGAGGACCATAGCGGAAGTGATGCCACCACTGCCGTGATGAAGCAGGGCGAGGGGCCTAGTGCTAGCAATTCCACCAAAGAATGGGATTATGACGAGGTATGTTTCTTTTTATTCCAGAACAATGAACACGATCACGGTGTCAGCAAATTGGAGACCTTTAGTTACATTGTAGCAAGAAGAAACAGAGCCTCCTCCGGAAGAAGCAGTAGAGGCCTATCCGGATGTGAAGAACACCAAACAGAAGCCATGTTCTATGAACCATTTGATGTATGTGGAGAAAAACGAGAAAGCAGGATGTGCCGGAGCATTGAGTAAGCTTACCTTACTTTTTGCTACCATTTTCCAGGCTTCTTCCAAGCATTGAATTCCAGACTTTGCATACGAAGTGTGTCACAGCTTTTTCGATTGTATGAAACAAGCCCGAAGCTTCATATCCACAATGCGAACCTATGTGAGATGTGTATAGTGTAGTTCTCTGCGGACGGTTGGGCGTGTCAGTGCGGCTGCGTTTGGCGCGGTGCCAAACCCGTTCTCCACCAGTTTTAAAGCGAGCAAATGATATGACTGTATCATATCGATCGTATTACTCGTTTTCTACCACTTTTTGTCGCATGCGCGCTTCAACAAGAAGGCAGAGAACGGCCTTGACGCTGTGCACACTCATACTGGCTGACACGCCCAACCGTCCGCAGCGAAGAAGAGTGTAGCTCCTCCATGAAAGACTACGACTAACTATCCTGATTTCAGCATCTGCTCACAGTTCAATGATATCAAGCCTGAATCTCCTTGCTTTAGAGCACTTTTTGCTTGCTGAGTGTTGTTGTACCAAATAAACAGTTTTGTTAGGCCCCCAAGTTAATCGTTTTATCACAATTGACAAGTGCGTAATG